AGGCCACAGCTGCCGGGAGGGCTGGGGCAGGGAAGCCCGGGCCCTTGAAGCTCAGGCCCTGGCAGGCCGGCAGGGACCCTCAAGCTCAAGAGGGAGCAGTGGTCACCGAGGAGGACCCAGGCCAGAAGGCAGGAGGCCGGGAAGACAAGGGAAGGGGCTTGAAACCCAGGAGGCCCCCCAAAGGTGAGAACTGGCAAGGACAAGGGGCCCTCAGGTGGTGCCTGGGGCCTGCTGGGACTGACAAGACCACGCATGAGTTTGGCCACCCAGACACTGCCCCATTCCCAGTGTTTCCAAGCCAAGTGCCCTCGAGTGCGGGGTGGGAGGGAAGCCCTCCAAAGTCACGTCCCCTCCCCAGGCTCAGAGCCCCATTTGGGCCTTTGCCCTTGGTGCTGAGGGGAGGGGTCCCAGCAGCCTGTCGCTCCAGCCCAGGCTGGCTGAGTAACTGGCAGGCCCTGGGAGCCCTGGGCAAACCCCTGTTCCTCAGTAGGCCCCTGTTGCTTGTGACCCAACAGGGGCTGTCTCTCTTCCTCCAGGGACCTCCCATCAACCTGGGCCAAGGATCTGGTGCCCACAGAAGGACCACAGCTGAGGCTGGGATGGCAGCGGCAGCACCTCCAAGACCCTGGGCCGTGGGTGGAAAAGACCAGGAAGCACACACGGGCACAGGCACAGGCACGCAAACCTGGGCACCACCCAGCAGGCCATGCCCTCTCTGCCGGCCTCGTGCCTCCTGGCCCAGGCAGTCATCGCCTGTGGCAACGTCAAGATGAAGCATGTCCCTACCCTGACCGACCCTGGTCTGACCACACTCTACCTGGCAGGTGGGTGGCCTCCTCCCCCCGCACCCACCCCTACGGCAGGGGTAAGAAGGCCGACACCTGGGCTCCCACCCTGGCTCTCCCGAGCAGCCCCGTCTGGTGGGGGAGGTACAGAGTGGCAGCGGGCAGGGGGCAGAGAATATGGCTGCCCCATGTGCGCACAGAGAATGAAATTGCCAAGATCCCAGCCCACACGTTCCTGGGGCTGCCCAACCTGGAGTGGCTGGATCTCAGCAAGAACAAGCTGGACCCCCGAGGCCTGCACCCCCATGCCTTCAAGCTATGTTGCGGCCCATTCACCTGCTCCTGGGGGGCCTGGGCTGGGGTTGGGGCTGGCAGGTCCCAGACGACCCAAGGCATCCATTCCCTGCAGGGTGGAGCTGCTTGGGGGTAAGGCCTGGAGGAGGCATGGCAGACAGCACTCAGCATGGTGGGCTTCCGCAATTTGGTGTGACATGTTCCATCGCTGGGAGTAGGGGGAGCAGCACAGGCCCGCAGGCCCTGTAGAGGAGCAAACAGAAACCCTCCCAGACAGGCCTGGATTCAGTGGGAACTAGGAAGCCATGATGCCACCAACAGAGTGCCCTTGGTCAGGATGGGCCCAAAGCCATGCCCAGGAAGGCCTGTACCCCGACCAGCAGGCCCCCAACCCCAGCCCACCTGTTCCCCATGGCCCCCCCAGAATCTGATGCGGCTGAAGCGGCTGAACCTGGATGGGAACTCGCTGACCACAGTCCCGGCCCTACCTGCCTCCCTGCAGGAGCTCAAACAACGACAACCTCCTGCAGGGCCTGCAACGCAGCAGCTTCCGTGGTGCGGGCAAGTTCCAGGGGCAGGGACCCAGGGAGCCAGGCCTGGGCAGGTACCTGCTCCCCAGGACAGGGGCTGGCAAGGGGTGGGTCTGCCCTCTGGGAGGTACACTCGGGAGAGTGCCCAGGGCAGCCTGGCTGGAACACAGAGGAGACTGCCAGCCTGGGTAAGGAGCCCTGGCCTCTAGGGGCAGGCAGGGGTTCTGGAGCTACCGGGAGGAGCTCTGCGATGGCTCACCGCACCCTTCTGCCCACCTGCAGGGCTCAGCCAGCTGCTGACACTGGAGGTGGAAGGGAACCAGCTGCGTGACAGGGACATCTCCCCCCTGGCCTTCCAGCCCCTCTGCAGCCTGCTCTATCTGAGACTGGACTGGAACCGGCTGCGGACCATCCCACGCTGCCTGCTGGCCTCCCTGCAGGTGAGCTGGAGCTCCCAGGATGGGGAGGCAACATTATTAACAGTCAAACAACCCTGCCTCGGCTTCTGCTGAGGGGACTTGGAGCAGCCAATGGGGCATCTGTGCGCTAAAAGTCACGAGGCTTCAGGCCTCTCCTCAACTTGACCTAACCTTCCAGAAGTCCACAGTGAGACCTCCTGGATGACTCTGCATCCTCTGGGGTCTCTGAGTAAGGCCCATACCCTCTTTCTGGACCATACAGTCCCCTGAAAATCCACCCCCTGCCATGGGCCTAAGAGTGGCAGAGACTGGCACCTGAGTTGCACGGACATGGCTGGGTGGAAGGGGGCATTGCTGGCAGAGAATGGGGACAGCCAGAGTTGGAGCCTGACCAGGTGGCCAACAACTGGCAGATGGGCCCCTCACCCCGACTCCTGACCCCGACCCTAGGAGCTACACCTGAGCACAAACCTTATCCAGGAGGTGACAGAGGGTGCACTGAGCCACATCCACAGCCTCAGCGTGCTAGTGCTTAGCCACAACCGGCTTCAGGAGCACCAGCTCGCGCCCCGAGCCTGGATCCATCTCCCGTGAGTGGCAGCCCCAGAGCTTCGCCCCAATGGGCATTTAGAGGCCGAGAGCAAGGATGGCCCAGAGCAGCCCCGAGAAGCAGGTGGGGAAGGCAGAGAGGGCAATGCTGAGACGCGGAGCTCCAGAGAGGGCCAGGAGGCAGGGGCTCCAGGGGAGGACTTGTTCCTTGGGCCTGGTCTTCGGTGAGTCACTGGGGTCACCTCCCTCCCTGCTTAGGTTAGCCTGGGCCCTCAGTCACCACAGACTCTTCCAAGATGTTGCTTGCAAGCTTGCAAGGCCTTCCTTCTGTCCCTCCCACCCAGCAGAATCCCCCTTGCCCTCCCGTGCCTAGGCCTGCCCTGCTGGCCCCCAGGAAGCTCACCTGAGAGGTGCCATGGGCCTGGATGGAGGGCAGCAGTGGTGGGGAGAGCTGGCCCGACAATGGGTGCAGTTAGGAGGCGACAGGGGCAGGAAGCAGCACGGAAGGGCTGGGGGCACAGGAATGTGGGGAAGAGAAGTGTGTGCATGTCCTGGGGCTGCCATCACTGAGCGCCACAAACTGCATGACTTCAAACAACAGAAATAAACTCTGTCAGTTGCGGAGGCCAGAAGTCTGCAATTTAGATGTTAAGGGACCATGCTCCCTCCGGAGGCCTAGGATTGGATCCTTCCTGCCTCTCCCAGCTTCAGAGGGCTCCAGGTGTTCCTGGGCTTGTGGCTGGACGTGGCCATCTCCCCTGCGTGTCTCCCTTTGTCTCGTCTTCTCTCTTCTGTCTCTCAAAAGCACTCCTGTCATGGGAGCGGGGCCCACCCAGGGAACCCAGATGAGCTCAACTCGACATCCTCCCCTGCAATCCTTACATCTGAAGATAAGGCCACATTCACAAATTCTGGTGGACATAGGTTCTGGGGGCCACTCTTCACCTCATTCCAAGAAAAGTCAAGGGCAATTCCCTGGATCTGGTTGGGACAGCTAGGTGGGGATGCTGGCACACAGGCCACTCACGGCGACCAGATGTTGCAAGGCTGTGGAAGTCAGGCTAGGGAGTCAGGACACAGTCCTGGGAACAGCGGGGTGGGCTGGGGGAGACCGGGTGACAGGCGAGAGGCTCAGGAGGGCCGGATGACCCCCAAAGCAGGGTGGGGCCGCAGTGGGGAGGGAGGCGGGGGTCGACAGACAGTCTGACCCGCCATTCCAGGGACCAGAGCCTCCCGCCCTGCATCCTCGCGTTCCAGGAAAAAGTTACCAGGACGTTTGGGTTTAATTATTCCTTTTTCCTCTCCCCTGCTTGCCAAGGGGGCAAAGGAAAGCAGACAGCAGCCTGGGAGGGGCTGCCCGGCCACTATTCCACTCCCGCCGCGGGGCCTGGGCAGGGGGCTGGCGGCCAGTCAAGCCCCAGCTGCCTCAGCCCCGGCCTCTCCTGGACTGTGGAGCCGCCCGTCTCTTCTCTGGCTGGTGGAAAGGGAGGGAACTGAGAGGCACAGGAGCAGCCCAAAAGGCTGACCCCAGCCACAGGGGCTGAGGGTGTTGCCAAGAGAAGCCTTCCCTGTTCCCTCTCTCCATATTCTTACCCATTCCAGAAGCCTCACCACCCTCTGCCCTTGCACACCTGCATGGCCACAGGGACCAGGGCTTCCTGCTGATGGGGTCAGGGCCTCAAGGAGTCAGGTGTCCACCATGGAACGACCGGGGACTCCCAGCTGAAGGTGGCAACCTGAACTCCACTATAGGACAGCGAGGACTGTGTGACCTCCCAGGGTCCCCCAGCCCTAACCCTTGTGGAGCCTGATTTTTTTCTCCCTACTCATCTAGCTTCTACACATCTGAGGATAAGACTGGGAGAGGCAGGATGAGGGCAAGAGAGTGGGAGGGACAGAGGAGAGGGCTTCAAGGCTGAGGACCGGCAGGGGCAGAGAGTTCCCCCGCCCCATTTTTCCCCTAGATTTTAGGCGTCACCCTCTGAGCTCTGTCAGGTGTCAGGATTAGGAGACAGGAGACCCTGAGATAACACCTGAAGGGAAGGAAGTGAGGGGGAGGACGGTCCCTCGGTTTCCACAATGACGGCAGGCATCGCTAGCCCTGCAGGGAGCAAGGAAGGCCCCCACCCAGATCCTCTAATCCCTAGGTCTTGGGGGACAGAGGAGGACATAAACCCACACAGGGCCTGGCCTGACTCACACAGGAGTTGCGAGAGTCCCAGCTGTTGAGAGTGCAGGTTGCGGCTGCCATCTCAGAGTGAATCCCACGCTCGTCTTGGGAGTTTGGGGCTGCAGCCCCTGGAGCTCCCCTCTGGGAGTTGCCAGCTGTCAGCTCCCTCTGCCCCTGTGTGCCCCGCCCCACAGGAAGCTGGAGACCTGTCCTACAACCGTCTGGTGCACATGCCCTCCTTCCTGCCACGGGGCCTGAGGCGCCTGATGCTGCACCACAACCACATCGAGCGCATCCCTGGCTAAGTGTTCGCGCACATGAAGCCAGGCCTAGAGTTCCTGCACCTGCCCCACAATAGGCTGCAGACTGACGGTATCCAGTGTGATCTTCCTGGGCCTGCACGCCTCACTGGCAGAGCTGCTCCTGGATCATAACCAGCTGCAGACCATCCCACACGGCCTCCTGGGCCTCAAGGGACTGCAGGTGCTGGGCCTGAGTCACAACAGGATCAGGTAGGGCCCCCCTCCCCGTCCCCACACCTGCAGCCGTCCCCACCCCCGCACTCCTGCTAGCACACAGAGGAAGAGGTACCCTGAGGCCAGGAGGCCCTGCCTTCCGGCTGGGCTAGGACAGGCTGGCCTTTGGGCTCCTTACCCGCAGGCCGCAGAGGCCAAAGGCAGGAGTCGGGGCTCATCCACCCTCCCCCAATCCAGCCATCCACCCGTCTTGGTTGCCATGATGGAGGCTGTGCCCAGTGGCTGGCAGGCCTGGAAAGCCAAGGGCAGCTGGCAGCCAGATGCTGGCAGGGCTCCAGCCCGGAGTGACAAGGGCTGGGGCTGGGGACCTGGCACTGAGCCTCGAGTTGGGAGGGGGCCAGGAGGCCACAGTGGTCTCTGAAGCCCGCCATCACTCCTCCACAGTTCTGATTCTGTGGTTTGGTCTTACTGCTTCTCTTAGAGCAGGGGTCTCTGTCTTTTCTTGAATGATGCCTACCCCTTCTTTCCGGGGTCTTCTCTCCCCTGCTGTGCCCTACCCCTCCCTTGCAGACAAGTGCCCTTGAATTCCATCTGTGACATGCACGTGGCCCAGGACTCCAACCTCATCTCCATACACCTGGAGAACAACCTCACTGACCAGCGCCGCATCCCACCCACTGCCTTCTCCTGCATCCGAGCCTATCACAGCGTGGTCCTCCAGCCCCAGCGGGGGGAGGAGGAGGGCTCCTAGTCCTGCCTGCTGCCTTCCTCCAGCACACACTCTGATTCTCGAGGGGGTGGAGGGGCAGGCCGAGCTGTGCTTAGCCATTGCACCCCTGAGAGAAAGGTCTAGAAGACCCAACTGCTTCCAGTGCACCCACTCCACATTGACTGGTGAGGCCCCTTCACTTAGCAAGTGGCCCAGGGGCGAAAGGTGGCACTGGTTTGTACTTGAACATAATAAATGCAGCTTGGGCAGGCTCACCAGCCAGCCTCCCTCCCTCCAGGAGCTACACTGCATATCCTGGCTCTCCCATGTCCATGCAGTTCCTGGACCGCACCTAAGACTGTCAGCAAAGGGATTCAGAGGGCTTGGGTCCCATGGCTTCTCTGGGAGCCTCCCCACCCCCACCCTGCCTCACCAGGGTCCTGAAGTCCTTGCTTGGCCTCAGGCCATCAAGGGGCCAGTCTCCCCACCTTGCTTGAGGCAGCATCTGCCCCCGATCCCTCTCATCCAAGAAGTATCCCTGTCCTGGGCCTGGACCCAAAGAGGTGGGCTTGACTGGCAGAGCAGGAGGGTGTGGAGGTTCAGGGCACCTGCTATTGGTCCTAGAGCCACCCACACCTGCACTGAGGCCTGAGGCAGGGGCTGGTGAGCACTGCACAGTGGCACCTCTCGGGAAGCTGCTTTGCCTCTCCCTTGACACCTCCCCCCCATTCCTGGTCCCAGAACCCTCATCCCTGCCCCCAACATGCACACCCACCTGCAAGATAGGTCCCCAGGGACCCACCCCCAGCTCACAGATGAGTAACTTGCCCAGGGACGTATGTCTGGCTCGCTGTGAGACCAGGCTGTGCCCCATCTGACCTGGTGCCAGGGAAGGGTGGGGAGTGAACACGTGGTCTCTGCAAAGCCAAGCCCCGCCCTGAGCACTGGGCAGGGACCACCCCTGGCCAGTTTCCGACTGTCTGCCTAAGCAAGGCCAGCCCTCCATGCTGACCTCCCCATGTGCCAGGAGTCCCTGGGAAGTGACAACAGCCCTGCCGAGCCCTGAAGACAGACTGGCCAGATATGCCGGTGGAGACACTGGGTCTGTGGAGCCCTCGAAGGCCACTGAGGCCATTGCCCCATTGGCCTGCCTGAGTGAGGGGGTCCCTGGGAACCGGATGGGGTTCCTGGGACAGCCTCCACAGCTATCTAGGCCACCAAGCCCTGTGTCAGGAAGGGATAGGGACAAGGGGTCACAACCAGCAGGGAGCACAACAGCCACTGCCCTGGGGTGGGGTTCACAGAGACAGCCAGGCGACAGGCATGGAGGATGCTGCAGGAGAGGGCCCAGCAGAGACATAGCCCAGCTGCAAGGAGCGCATGGCTGTGTCCCTGTCCTCTGCCCCTCTAACTTGTGAGCCTCCGGTATGCCTCTCCGGCCCTCGCTATCCCACCCCATCACCTCAGCACCCCCATCTCAATCTGGGCACGACCTTCCTATTCCCCGGCCTTCCTCCACCCTGGCGGGGCCGCCCCTCTCCTTCTCCTCTGCCTCCGGGCTGCTGGATGTGGGTGGAGCAGAGGAGGAAGGGCACAGGGTGTCCGCTGCAAGGACCTTGCCCCGCCATCAGATCTGCCTAGGACCAGGGCCTGGGAACTGACTCTCGCCTTGCTCCCATTCCGTGGCTGATTCCCCCTACCCCTGCCCCCACCCCTGAGTTCTCAGTGGAGAAAGCGCCAGACTGTGGCGGGGGCGGGAGAGGCCTGGGAAGCTGCGGGCTGTTTGCTTTGGACTCATCCTGGCATTCCTTCTCCTCCAGCTGGCCCCGCAGATATGGCACTTCCTGTTTGGGCTGGGTCAGAGGTCAGCAGACCTCGAGGCGCTGGCCCCACTCTCCCAGCTCTCATGACCCTTCCTCCCCGCCTGGCCACCCCAGTCCCTGCGCCTCTTGCTCAGGTCACCCTGCAGCCCCCACCTTCTCACAGTCCCGGAGGTCAGGCCTGAGAGGCACAGGAAGTGCAGGCTGGGTGAGCCCCCCCAACATCTCCTGCCCGCTTCCCACCATTGCCCAACAGATGAGGCAAGTGGGGAGGAGAAGGGGAGGGGCCCCTCAGCTGCAAGAAGGCAGGGGCCGGACGGGCCACCGACAGGTGGTTAATTCCACTTCTCAGAGCCTGGGTGGGAGCTAATCCTCCTATGACCTTCCCGACTGGTGAGGCAGGGGACTCGCATTCGGGAAATGTACCTGCAGGCTCTTGGGGTCATCACCTGGCCAAGGGAGAAGCTGGGCTGCAGCCGACCCTACAGGCCCAGCCAGGCCTCAGCCAACCTGCACTCCGAGATGGGGCAAAGGGACTGGGCCTTTATTTCCCCCTCATGACTGGGACAAGGGTGCTGTTTTCAGCCCAGGGGATCCCCCAGAGGGCCAGGAGCTCAGGGCTGGGGGCTTCACTCCCTGGGGCTGTGGGAAGGCTGGTCAGAATCTAGTTGCCACCGGAAGGGAATTTCTAGACAGAGCCCCAACCCAAGAGCAAGGGCAGCCCAGCCGTGGCCCTACACCTGCCCCTCCTTCAGCAGGGGCCACCCTCCAACAACCACTCACTCCCACCTTCGCTGTGGTTACTGTGCTCCTCTTCGGGGTAGCTGCTGGCTCCATCTGAGGGTACAGCAGTGGGCGCAGCCCAATCGGTGACCCCAAAGTGCTGGGCATCTGAGGGGACATTGCAGTGACAACTGCAGCAGTGATGGCAACAGGGTAGGTGTGACGGGGGTCAGAAGGGAGGCGCTCATCAGTCCTCAGATGGCGATGGGGATGCTGAGGTGATGGGGTGGGACTGAGGGTAAGGACAGTGGGGACAGCTCACAATTCAGAGGGGTGGAGAATGGGGGCGGGGAGCCATGCCCTGCCTGGGGCTGGGCCTGTGTCTCCGGCCTGAGACCTGGGTGGGACCTTGCACCTCTGCACCGCCTCTGCCAGCTGCAGTCCCAGAAAACTGCCCATCAGCCTCCAAATTCTTCTCCAACTGCCCCTCACTGGCCCCCCACGGACCCGCATCTCGCCTTCTCCACATTCTGTTCTGAGCCTTCCCTCCGGTCTAACACAAGCATCTCACCTACTGTGCCACCGTCCACCCCCTACCCCCATAATAGCTGCCACCTTGGCCACACGGGGAGATGCTAAGCTGTCTGGCCCTCAGGCCAAGTGCTATCCCACCCCATCTTCTGAGCATCTGGGCCAAAGATTGCTCCAAGCTGAAGTCAGGGTTCAGGACCCAGCCCCTCCCCACTCCCGGCCCAGCCCCTCCCCACTCCCGCCAGAGCCTCCCGGTGCTGCTCCTGGGCTTTGGCCTCCCTGAGGGAAGACCACAGGGGTCCTAGAGTGCCCCTGGCCTCTGGCTCCCAGGCTTCGGCTTCCAAGGCAACCCATCTTCCATCCTCTGGCCACGCCCCAGACTATGCCTCTCTAAAGATAGCTAGACCCAGGCTGGGCCTCCCCGGAGCCCCCATGCAGGCCCTGAAATTACAGCCCTGGTGGCCCAGAGGGGAGAGATGCTGTGTGATTATGTCCTCAGGGGAAGGTCAAAAAAAGCTCCTGGCATGGAGAGTGCCAGCTTTCACCAGCCACACCTCCGCCATCCAGCACTGGGAAGCTTCCATATAGATGAGGCTCCGCTCACTCAGCACCAGCTCGGCTGATCCGGGGCATGTTGACACAAGCCTCCTCCATGACTGCCCCGCCCTCTGAACCCAGAGGGCCCCGCTGAGCGTCCGCTTCATGTCACTTCGAGGCTGCAGGTCATCCAGAGACCCTTGAGTGGTGGTGGGGCTGCCCACTGGTGTCTGCCCCTGAGGGTGCCAACACTGGGAACGGACGAAGCTCGCAGGCTGGGAGTGAGGCCCACTCAAGGCCATAAACTTGGGGCCGCTCTGGGCAGGGTCACTTGCTCAAGAGGTAACCTCGATGTGTGAGTGACAGGTCTCTGGATGGGAATTTGTCCTGGAGGCTGAGGCTCTGCAAGAGCTACTCCCTAGTGACTGAAAGGCAGCCTCAGGGCACTGTCTCCTCCTCTAGAAGCTCTCTCTGCCCACCAGTCTTGTATGGGTGCATAGCACTTGTCACCTCCTCACCTCCTTGCTTCTTGAGGGTCTTGCTAATGGTCCAGGGGATGGGAGTGCTGCCCGTCTGCCTCGCCCACTGCAGCTCTCTATCCCAGCTCTCTCGGCTCTCCTTCTGTCTCTCTGTCCCATTCCCAAGACAGGCATGGGCCCTTCTGTTCACACCATCAGGTTGGAAGGGCGGGGGAGTTCATGTCCAGGCAGAAGGATTCGAGAAGCAGCCACCCACAGAGAAGAGGGCCCGCTGGACACACTTGGGGAGCAGGGCAGACCCTGGAGAATCACGAAACAAGCAGCCCACCTCTGTAGGGGGTCCTGCATAAGAGACCGCCTCCCAGGCTCCTAGGCTCTGCCCTCTAGGACTCACACCATCCGCCAGCATTTCATGCCCAAATGGGACCAGAGGGCTCACAGCCTGCCCTCTGGGCACCCCCACCCCGCTTCTCTCCTGGGCCTCCCTGCTGTAGCTTTGAAGACAGGACACAAACAGCTGCGAGCCAGCTGTGGGGGACAGGCTGCAGCTGACTGCAGGTCCTCTTCCCACACTGGCCAAGGAGATGGCAGTTGGCTCAGATCCCTGCGCCCTGCCTCCCCTCCTCCCAGCCCCCTTCCTCCATGGCCCTCTCCCTCCCTCAGACATGCCCTTGTCCCATCCTTCCATCCCGTGGCTGCCGCCCCACCTGCTACCTTCCAGCACCTGTCCTGGGCTCTGCCCTGGGCAGGCTGGGGTGGCAGCTGCCTGATGAGGGCTAGACGAGAGTTAGGCTCAGAGCAGGGAGACCACAGTATGGCCTGGGGCCCCGCGCAGGGGCAACTGCCAGAGCAAGACAGCTTTCCCTGAAAGCCTGAGCAGGCTGCCCAGGGCTGCCCTCCCCACGCAGCTGAGGGGGCCGGGCTCCTTGTCAGGTGGAGAGAACTGAGCTCTCAGCTCCATCCAGCAGGAGAAGGGGTCTCCCGGGCTGAGATGCAAGGCAAAGCTGGTGCCAGCAGGACCTTCCGGGCCTCTACAGCCTTTTGGGGGAAGCATCCCAGCTAGGGCCTAGGGGGCCTGTGCAGTGGCATCCCAGGGTCACATACAGGCCATGCTGGAAGGGGCCAGGTTCTACTTCCCCCACCTCCTGTGCCCTGTCTGCCGCTGGTTCCTGGGGAGCTAAGACAGCTGTGTGTCCGCCTCCTCCCCAGGAGCCCTGGGGGCCTCAGGAA